TGGAATGTCAGGCAACAAAAATGGAAGATGAAGTTCTAAAAGTGAAAAAAGCATCACCCACTCCTTTGGAAGTAATGAAGGAATCTATAGCCAATTTACTCAGCCAAAGAGGATTGCCCTTGCAACTCCTAGAGCAGCTGCCATCAAGGTTTCATTTTAAAGCTTTTTATATATCTTTTAGCCATTGTTTGGTTTGGGAATTCTCGAGGGGGGGGGGGGGTAGGGTTTGGGTTGGGGTTCTAATTTGTTTGTGATATATCAGAAAATAGGTTTCTACTTGGTTAAAGAAGTATCTTTCTTAGTTAAATTATTCATTCTTTATATATTCTTATTTTTACTTTTTTTCCCAACCAACTATTGTAAAAAAAATTACGAGTAATTAACTGAGTATATCTCCTCTTCAGTTGGAAATCCCCCAACCAAACAAGGTCTTAAGCACATCATGACCTATATGGTCTGATCCTTTTTTCTGAATTGCTAGAAGTAAACTGCATTTTTATGACACTTTTGGACCAAGAATGCTATACCTAATTCAGTATGACACCAAACTTACACCTTTTTGATGATATGTATATTGAACGGACCTTTTTTCATTAGATGGGAGCGTTTGGGTGATATTGTAGTGCTTCCTATGACATGCTTCAAGGACCCACTATGGGACTCTGTTGGGGCGGAGCTTTGGAGTTTGGTTGCAAAGTCACTTGGAACTAATCGACTTGCTCGACAAGTAAGATGTACACCTCCTATTCTTAATAATTGCTGTGGATTTTAAGGCAGTATTTACATTACTTGACAAATGTCACTGCCCCATAGATTCAAGGTATTAAAAGTAACAAACACGAGCGAATACAACAAACGATAAAAACAATCGGCCCAATGCCCGTTTGGCAATAACTTCTGCGGTTAGCCTTGGTTTTTTAAAAAGGCTATTTAATGACAACGTTTAACTTTAGCGTTTTCAAATTTAATTTGCACCATTAACAAATTATTTCAAAATGCTAAGGCTAATAGAAGATATTGTTCCCAAACAAGTTCCCATTATATTCCACACATGGGGTCTTGGCAATGGGTGTATGTTAACCTTACCAATTCTTCTCTCCTCTTCCTCACAAAATGAAAGGAAAATCACATTTCCAATTTTACTTTACACATGACTAAAGTTTTCTTTTCCCTCCTATTTTCTTTTCTTTTTCTTTTAATTTCCTTGAACTAAACACAATGTTCTAGAATCCATAAGAAGAAAAGATATCAACATATATGATATAATTACATCGTATTTCATACAACAACAATCCAATTGGATCCCTCGAGAGTAGGCTCTGGAGAGGGTGTGTGTACGCAGACCTTGCCCCCACTCGTAAGTAGAGAGGCTGTTTTCAAGAGGCTGTTTACATCGTATTCCATTACCTATCATTTGAAGAACATTGTTTCACAATAACTCTCATCTTTCCAACTCTGCCATCTCAATAACTCTCACCTCTTTGTTATGGTATAATATTCAATTAGTTTTGAGTCTTTCCGTTATTGGTTTCTATGTCCAAAACAGAGTGATGACACATATTCTGTAGGAAAATGGTAAAGTCACTCCTACTCTCACTCCACCTTTCACCCCAACCTTCTCACTAACATCCTCATCCATGGAACAGTAACAGTTGTCTATGGGTGTCTCTAGATGTCTCTAAGGTGGGGGAAATATTTGTGTTATTTTTAGTATCAAAATGAAAGATAGTGTTTCATGGTGGAAAGGTTTAATTAAACTTAGTATGCCTAAGTTTACAGGGAAGAATATCTCCAAGTGGCACAAGAGACAGTACTCTGGAGATGCTTGTTGGAGATGATGGGTGGGTAAATCACCGCGAGAATGGAATCTTATATTCATTTGATGCTACCAAGTGCATGTTCTCCTGGGGTAATCTCTCCGAAAAGTTGAGAATGGCCCGCCTTGACTGCAAGGACGAAGTTATCGTCGATCTGTTTGCTGGTATTGGATATTTTGTGCTCCCATTCCTCGTCAGGTACTCCCTCCTCGTCTGGTATTGGTATTGGAAATTTTGACACATTTTGTTACACTTTGTGTACATTTTGGACTTTCACTCTACATTCGCTCTTTTAAATTAAATATGTATATATTCATCAGGGCTAATGCGAAGCTGGTGTATGCGTGTGAATGGAACCCCATGGCTATTGAGGCACTCCGTCACAATATCCAGGCAAATCTTGTGGCCGATCGTTGTGTAGTTCTTGAAGGAGATAACCGCATTACAGCACCAAAAGTGAGCAGTTTAGCTTCTCAAAGTCTCCCCTTCTTTTAGCTCCCTTCCACAATCTTTCTCTATTTATTCGTTTAACTGCATCTCTATGTGTGTGTGTGTGTGTGTGTGTGTTGGGCCAATGATATAGGGTGTTGCTCATCGTGTTTGCCTCGGGCTCTTGCCAACGAGTGAGGGTAGCTGGGTCACTGCTGTAAGAGCATTAAGGTATTTCATCTTTTTAATGTAGAATTATGCTCCTCTGTCCCAAAATGTTTGCAATTTAATGCAAAAACGAAGCAAAAGTTTAAGCCTTTTCAATTTGTTTTATGCAAAATGAAGCAAAACCAAAAGTTTAAGCCTTTTCATCTTGTTAGTCTTATTATTATTTAAAATTTTATAAGTGACATGATGTATGTTCTATAATGAACCCAAAGGCCAGAACTACCTGTACAGATCTTGTTACTTTTCGAAACAATTCTTAGAACCACATTTTCTGAATTGTAGAATATGGTTTTGTAGTTATGGAAAAAACCTGGATCTTACGAACCCAAGACATGATGAACTAACTGTATGTCCCTAGGGTTATGCTACACTCACACCACGAATGACACCAAGGCTAACACTGCCACGGTCTCTCACACACTATACACAGACAGTGATTCTATGTGGGTGTTTGTCTCCGATGATGTAAACCTTGGAGCTAAAACAACATCTTCCACACTTCAACGTCTCTAAACCCTAACAACTCGCAAACATTCTCTATATAGCATTATTTGGGAGATAACTATAGTGATGGTTTCAATGTCTTTTTCACAATGCAGAGAGGAGGGCGGGGTGCTACACATTCACGGGAATGTCAAGGATTCGGAAGAAGCCTCGTGGAAACAACATGTTTTGCAGTCAATCCATGCGATGGCCCGAGCCGAAGGTGCGGTTTTTTCAGTCCTCTATGGGGCCCGCAATGGCTTCGATGAACATTACCATTTTTCTTTCTTCATCCAAACTAATGGATTGCATTGTGATATCTCAGGTCGCGTTTGGGAGATATCGGTAGAACACGTGGAGCGTGTGAAATGGTATGCTCCTCGGATTTGCCATCTCGTTGCTGATGTAAGATGCAGTATGTGAAGTGATGAGGGAGTACTAATTAATATTAGTGAAAAATCTATGGAGTAAAAGATATGGCATTACATAAGAAACTATTTATGTTTGTGTGGATCACTCTATCCCATTTGTTCTTTCGCGCCAGTTCAATGTTATGTCAGTTTTTTTCTTTCTTATTCTTTCCATCCCCTTTTAGGTGTAGATCCCTTTCGTCCCATTTCTTTTCCTTTTTTTATTCCGTCTTACCCAATTTAAACTATCCGTTTTGGTTTACGATGTTTGACTGAAATCATTTACGTATTGAAAAATTATATTCAAAGTTCTACGTACTGAAATCATTTAAGTACTGAAATCATTTACGTAGTACAAAATAAGAAAGAAGTAATATGACTATCATTTTATCAATGAGTATTGAAAATGGATGTGAGAGAGGTAAATGTTTGATTATGTGAATAGTGAAAAATAATTTAAATTGGGACGGAGAGGATAAATTTTTTTTAATTTCTATTTAAACTAAAATTACTTAAGAAAACCTAAAATAAATATTTCATTAATTTTAAAGTTAAAAGTAGGGATAAAAAATATCAAAAGTTTATTTTTAAAAATGTATTCATCATTAGAATTAAATTCAAAGTTAAATAATAATAATAATAAAACTTAAAGTACATGTTTACATCAACATTTCATTGATTTTATTGTTTCTCACATTTATTCTTAATTACTCCATCATGTCTAAAATAATGCGAATGGTGACGAAGAAGGTGAGCGGGAAGTAAATAGAGAGGCCAACGACGACGACGGCGACAGCAGTTGAATGGGCGGAAACAGCAGAGTAGACCGCCGTGACGAAGGCGATTACGACGGCAGCCAGAGCGGCGACGAGCAAATATCCGGCGATGTAGCAAGCCCTATCCAAAGTGTCACTGTAGACGGGGAACCAGAGTGCGCCGGTGGCGGCGATGCAAGCGAAGGTTGCAGAAAGGGAACACGCGAAGGCGATTGTGTCCGCGACGAGAAACGCCTGGAAAGCCGCGCCGCCCTCCTTCTTCTCCATTCCGGTGAAACCCGCGGCGGCGGCGATGGCCATGAGTGCGATAAGAGCGGATACCACCATCATCGGAGGAACCACTTCTCTCATCTTCATAACATCATCATCTGACGCCATTATTTCGATCTCCCCTAATAACTCCCTCCCTCCCCTTTCCTTTTACACGAGTGGATACCACCATCATCGGTCGGAGGAACTGCCCTATACATACATACATACATACTTTGGGAAGATCCATTTCCACGGGAACATAAGACCGTCCATTCATACATGGTAGAGTATGGAATAATTGTTCTTTAATTCCTTCACAAGTAAGTTTTTTTTACCTTTAGTTGGGAGTGACTCAAAGGATCTCATTCCATTCAATAGCATGTTTACCCGGTAATGTTTGGTGAAAATGTGAAGCCAGCGTAAAACTAATGATTCTTATTAACCCCTCTAAGATAAGAATATCAGATCATCCATTATTTAATTAGGAGCAATGAATAAGCTTTAACCTATTTGTACACCAAAATTTGTACCTCATTTTGTATTCTAAAGGCATGTAACGACATTTTGTGCTAGTGTGATGTTAGTGTGATGAATTACATTGACAAAAAATGTCAGTGTAATTTTTTTTAATTGAACTAACATTTTCTGCCAGTGTGAATCGTTAAAATGTCGGTGCATTTCTTTGGAGTATAATTTAGAGTGCACTCTTGGTGTACCCCTAGCATGCTTGAATGAACAATTATAGAGAGCTCTAAAAAAGGGGTCATGCTAGGGTGCCACCAAAAGTGTGATATCATTGGTGCATCCATGCTCCGCACATTTAACACACGTGATAATACTGTGTCTTACTCTATATCCCGTAGGCCGTATCTTCTTTCCAATTTGACCTTTTACGGTTTCTAATTCAATACTTTGACCATTAATATTTCTATTCGTATATAGACATATACTCGTATTAAAGAGTATAAAATATGGAGTATGATATTTTAAAACTAATTTTCCAAATAAATCTATTGATACTAAATTTATGTCATAATTCAATAATATGAAATGGAGAGTGATGGGTATATTAGGCCAAAAATTAGATAGTATCATATAATTAGCCCAATATACATATCCAAGTTATGGCCTCGAAGGACTGAGCCCAGACCCAAGGACGGTCCCGGAGCTTGGAGGATGGGTCGACCCGCCTGGGCTATATATATATATATATATATATATATATATATATATATATATATATATATATATATATATATATATATATATATAATGTACCTTGGTGAAAGAAATAAGAATAAAATGTAGCCCTTGGATCTGATGCATTGTGCGGCTCAGATTGCATCCTGCACTCAAATTTTGAGATAGTGCATTTTTAAAGGATTTTGGTACATTTCGACATGATGCATTTTAAAACCATTTTGGTGCAACTAATTTTGATGCAATCCTGACCCTTAGATTTCACAATCTAAAGAACCGGATTCATTCTTATTTCTTTCATAAGATTGCATTCTCACTTGAACACACACACACACACACACACACACACATATATATATATAAAGTACTCTGTAGTTTTTTGTAGTGCAGTACTCCGTAGTTGATACTTTAGTGCCATGTAGAAAAAGAAGTGCTTAATTTTTTAAATGAATGTGTAAATATGAATTCAAATATGGAATAATTGACAAGATAGAAGACCCAATACCATAAGTCCATACTCCATAAAACCTAATCACTAATTCACTAATAGAAAGTACAACCTTCTCGTACTCTGAGATAGGGGTGGACACGATATGGTTTCGGGACGGTTCCGGTTCCGGAACCACCACCCCTTGGTACCGGTACCGGTACCGGACCGGCCGGTACCGGTTCTGATTCCCGGACAGGCGGTTCCGGTACCGGACCGGCCGGTTTCGGCCACCCCCAATTTTCTTTTTTTTTTTTTGCTTTTTTATTAAATTTTTAAAGTGTGAAATTGTAAATGTGTAATTGTTAAAGGAAAGGATGAAATAAAAAATCTAAAAAAGAAATTGATAAAGGAAAGAATGAAATAAAAAAATAAAAAAATAAAAAAATAAATAACGGTGCCGGAACCGGAACCGGTACCACCCGTGCCGTTACCGAAAAATGGGTACCGGAACCGGTACCGGAGTGGGCGGTACCGGTACCGATTCCCAGAACCGGTGGAACGTCCCGGCCGGCAGTGACGGTGGCGGGTACCGGCGGCACCATTGCCGGTCACGGTACCGTACTGGTACCGTGTTCACCCCTACTCTGAGACGCTACGATCCTCAAAATTTGAAGCGATAAAACGTTAAACAACTTAAAATTTGTAATTTACAATAGAATAGAAATACGAGCCGAATATTAAAATATAATATTGAATCGAATAGGAATAGTACCAATAATTATTCGAATAAAAACGAATATGAATAATGGTATACTCCGCATTATATATAGTCAATTGAATTTTTTTTGTTTCACAAAGCAAGTAAATTTAGAGATTTTTTTTTCAAATAATAAAAGATATTAGTGAAATAATTAATAATTAAAAAATGATCATGGGTTAACAAAATAATGAAATTATTATAATTAATAATAACTTTATTCTTAACTTGTTTATTAAAAAAAGTGAAAAATTTATTTAGAAGTATATATACATTTACTCCATTTACTCCGGAGTAGTTTGGTTGACGATACCATCAAACTTCTTTGAAGTGGGACCGGACAATAATAATGTCTACCGAAAGAGTGAAAGAAGTAAAGGAGTACGTGAGGGTATTGATCTTCATGGTACAAGCCACCGGCACTCTGATAGCCGCCGCCGTCATGGCGGCGGGTTTCACCGGCGACCATAGAACGCCGCGGGCGACGACGACCCCCACCACCGCCTTCTACGCATTCGCCGTCACCGACGCACTGGCTTTCGCGTGTTCTCTCTCCGCTACCTTCGCTTACTCCTTCCTGGCGGCAAGCGGCGGATCGCCGTCCCCGCCGTTTTCGCTCGACGGCGGTGGTTGTAATGATGGATATTCCAATGGGACTCACCGCTTCGCGAGGAGCATGCTGGGTTTGGCTCTCTTTGCACTCGCGGTTGCTTTTGCCGCCGGTCTCTACTCCCTCCTGTTGCCCCACCCTGTTGCCCCCGCTGCTGCTGTCGCCGTCATGTGAAGTAGAAATCTAAATGAGAATTAGAAAAATGCTAGGGGTACACCAAAAGTGTACCCCATTTGTCTCCCACCCCCTCCTTGTCCACATAAAAAGGCAAGAAACTCAAAAATAAATAAATAAATAAAAATCAAATAAAAATGAGTGATGGAGAAGGGGGTGGTGTACATTTGAGGTATACCAAAGGTGTACCCCTAGCATTGCTCTGAGAATTATTCCCCTCCCCAAGAACGAGTATATACTTAAAATTTGTTTAAAATATAAGAAATGTTTAGAGTAGTAAATGAATAATCGAAAAATCGATTAACGTCTGCATTCGTATCTATTTATACGAAAAATTTCTTTATTTGTTTAAAGCGGTTATTAATAGTCTTACTTTTTAAATAAAATATTTGTTTATACGGAAAATATCTATATTTGTTTATACGTACTAATGATAAGAATTATTAATAGTCTTACTTTTTTAATATAGTAGAGAATATACTGTCCATATTCTACGGTCGCTTTTTTATAAAAAATTTACCTGGAGTATTAAATTTTAACCACTTACTTTTTATTTTTCAAAATTTTTCTTAAATTCTACAAAGTCAGCCTATGTCAATTAATGAATATGTAGGATGGGAAAGATGATGAAGTGTACTCCCTCGCTCTCTCTGAAATTAAAGAGATTTATACTCTGTATTATATTATTTTATTTGACAATGAGTATTTTGATATTTAAATCACTCGGACACTTACGATACTAGATTGGTAAAATTGATAGTTCACATATAGGTGGTCTAATAGCCAAGGTCATCAGGAAGTCAAAATTGACCAACTTCAAAAATAGCACCACCCCTCGTAGTTTGAAAAATAAGCACCAATACTAATCTGTTTCCAAAATTAATTCCTAAAGTCTTTATTGTTTCAAAATGTTGCACACATACCCCTTTTGGTCATTTTCCAGCCATTTTTCTAGCAAAGAGAGGAGCATTGATGCCTATTTTCCAAACCATGGGGGACATTGCTTCTCATTTCTTATTTTCGTTAATTTTTTATTTTTTCCTTTTTCCCTTTTTTGTTTCGTTTATTAATCAAGATTTTTAAATTTATTTTAAAATTATATTTATAATGTTCTTAAAATCTATTTTTTTTGTTTAAAAAAAAATATATATACTGCATATGCACATCTCGAATTAATATTTTTTATTTTTTGAAATAATTTTTTTTGAGAACTTCAAAAAAATGAGGAAAAAATTAAGAAATAAAAAAGATATTCATTTTTATTTTTTATTTTATTTCATTCCTTATTTTATATTAAAAATAAAAATATGGAATAAAAAATTTAAAACGCTTTTGTAGGAATAAAAAAGAAACAAAGAAATAAAAAAGAACTAAAGAGGGAAAAAACCAAATAAAAAAAATAAGAAATGAGCTGGAGCACCCCCTGTGCTTTAGAAAATAGGTACCAATGCTCCTCTTCGCTAGAAAATGTTCGAAAAATGATCAGAAAGGGTTGAAATGCAACATTTTGAGACCACGAATATTTTAGAAATATGTTTTGAAAATAGATGTGATATTGTTGTCAATTTTCCAAACCATTGGAGTCATTATTGGAGCTATTTGGCCTTCTTAATATAAATAATTATGTAAGGATGACCTAAAATTAAATATTTTACAGGGACTAAACACATACTCCCTTCGTCCTCCAGTTTTTGTCCACTTTTGACTTTTAGAACTGTTCATCTAAGCACTTTGACTCATCAAATTCTCTCAATGTGTAAGCCTAAATATAGTCATGTGTGATCTTGTTTGATTTGTCTTAATATATAGATTAATATATAATTTCTATAATTTTTTAATATACAAATTACAAGATAAAATGGATTAAAGAAGTGCATTAGATGGTGTGTAAAAATGAAAGTGGACAAATACTCTAGGACGAAGGGAGTATTATCCTTAAACTAATACTCCCTCCATCCCAATAAATTACTCTCTCCGTCCCACAAAATATTACCCATTTTGAATAGTATTTGGTCAAAACATTACACACTTTTAGTACAAATTGTGAGAAAAGTAAATTGAATTATAATATAAATTTAATATAATTGGATTCATCTTGGGATCTTGTTTTGATATATAAAATTTTTATAACATTTTTTTCTTTAGATTATATTTAATTTATGATCAAAGCGTGTAACTGTTTGACCAAAAATACATCAAAATGAGCAATGTTTTGTGGGACGGGAGAGTATAATATTAGAATTACGAGACAAATTTCTGCATTTCTGAAATCATTTTATTAAAAATTACATCAAAATTTATTTTATCACATAATCTTTCAAAACCTACTTCGATTATAAACAAAATTTATCACATAAATTTAAGCAGTGGGATTCTAGTGACATACACCTTTGGTGATACTAGCGGTGCCACTGTCATTTTGGGTACTTCCGGTGCTCCATTTGTAAAATTGACAGGTCCTACCCCCTAACGCATCCCCTTAACCCTCACCTTACCCCCGCCTCTGCACTTCACCCCTAATCACGTCGTAAGCCCCCACAAAATGTGTGACTATTATGCATTGTATAATAGCCACACATTTTGTGGGGGGCTTACAGCGGTGTTGGGGTAGGAGTGAAGGGGTAGAGGTAAGACGGGGGTTTAGAGGGTGGGTTAGGGATAAGAATTGTCAATTTTACAAACGGAGCATCGGATCACCTTACACAACTAGAACCCCACCCAAATTTAAGTCTAAAAGTCTAAAACTATAAAATTCCATAGCAAAGTATTTCGTCCTTACCGGTAGTGTTCGCCTTCTAGACTCAGTCACCATGTCCCCGGCCGTTCGCCTGCGCCGACTTGGCGCGATCACCGCCCTTTCTGCCGCCGGAGCTTACACTCTCATCCGCGACCCCTCTTTCTCCTCCAACGACCCCGGCGGAAACTCTGCTTTCGATACCGTGCAGAGGAGGATCACCGATCCTCTCACAGTGTTGCCGCGCCGAGCAGATCAGGAGGCAGCGTTGATCGGAACCAGCCCCGCCAATCCTCTAGATATTCTCGTAGTTGGCGGTGGCGCCACGGGAAGCGGCGTCGCTCTGGATGCTACCACCCGCGGTCTCCGAGTCGGCCTTGTTGAGCGCGAGGACTTCGCTTCTGGCACCTCCTCCAGGTCCACTAAACTAATTCACGGAGGTTAGTGTCTCGATATACATTTTAACACACAATGATCAAGTATGTTCAAGCGATGTCTTTGATGAAACTGGGAGGACGAACATGGAGAGGTTGTGAATTGTTAATTTTGAATGATTTGATGCGCGAAATGGGTATTTTGATGATATATTTGATAAAATACAATACAAATCAATGAATTGCTTCGTATCTTTTCGGGTCCTCTTTAATTTTGTACCTCAATTTCATGTTGATCTTGATTTTGTAATTTTTTTGTGCGCATCTCTATCAATTTATTACTCCGTATGTAATATACTCTACTGAATCACTTACCAGTTGAAATAATCCATTTTGAGTTTTCATTAAGAAATCAGAAGAGTTTCTCTTAATCTTCTTAGTTCTCTGTTTTGACTATATGTTGTCTCAACATTAGACATTTGATTCAGGAGTTCGTTATTTGGAGAAAGCTGTTTTTAACTTGGACTATGGGCAGCTGAAACTTGTTTTTCATGCCCTTGAGGAACGTAAACAGGTTATCGAAAATGCACCACACCTCTGTCATGCCCTGCCTTGCATGACACCATGTTTTGATTGGTTTGAGGCGATCTACTACTGGGCGGGCTTGAAAATGTATGATCTGGTCGCAGGAAGGCGCTTGCTGCACTTATCCAGATATTATTCAGCAAAAGAGTCTCTTGAGTTATTCCCGACACTTGCAAGACATGTCAAGGATAGAACTCTAAAGGGAACAGTGGTCTATTATGATGGACAGATGAACGACTCAAGGCTGAATGTTTCAATAGCATTGTCTGCTGCTTTAGCTGGTGCTGCTGTTCTTAACCATGCTGAAGTAGTATCCCTTCTTAAAGACGAGGATAGTGGGAGGATAGTTGGTGCCCGCATTCGGGACAATTTATCAGGTACATTAAGCTTCATGTTTTTTTATCCTTGAGTAATTATGAACTTTGGTCTGTCTTTTTTGGCCATGGACTTTGAAATTATAAGTTTGGCGGCACGAGTTTCATCTATCAACCTTTGTCCTTCCGAGCATTTTTTTTGTTGACAACCATTCTTTGTGGCTATGACTTGTTTTGTGTGTGTATGGCGTCTAGGAGTGATCATATCATCAAATGGAATGTTGTAGAGGAGCATTGGATATGTATTTCTGAATTTTTATTTTTTGCAATGAAATATCCATATCATACTTCTGGCCTCACCACCATAATAACAAGAATAATAGACCTAGTATAATCCCAACTTTGTTGGAGTCTAAGGGTCAAGATGTATGCAATCTTACCCCTGTAAAGAATAGAGAGGTCGTTTTCATTCGGTCCTTGATGCATTTATGTATTTAATCCCTAAAGCTTCATAGAAAGCAAGTAGCTAAGGAAGTTTAATTTGCCATTTTGATTGTCTATCATTTACCCAAAGCTAAAACACTGTCGAAATTGAGCCTTTTAGTAAACACTGAATTGTGAACCATAACCACTATCATGATATATTACAGTATTTTATTATTTAAGAACTATTTTTACTAGCTTATGTTCCTTTCTTGCTTGTTTGAGTCTTACTTTATGTTAAAGTGCACAGGGAAGGAATTTGACACATATGCAAAAGTAATAGTAAATGCGGCTGGTCCATTCTGTGATTTTGTAAGAAAACTGGCGGACTCCAATGCAAAACCTATGATATGTCCTAGTAGTGGTGTTCATATTGTGCTTCCTGATTACTATTCTCCGGAGGGAATGGGTTTGATTGTTCCCAAAACAAAAGATGGCCGTGTTGTATTTATGCTTCCTTGGTTGGGGAGAACAGTTGCTGGCACAACTGATTCAAACACCAGTATTACAATGTTGCCAGAACCTCACGAAGATGAGATTGAGTTCATATTGGACGCCATTTCTGATTATCTTAATGTTAAGGTATATCAGACTTTTGCTTCAGCATATTTATA